GTGGTTGGCGGTGGAGAGAGGTGCGTAGCCAGAAGCGAGTGAGGACCTCCGCAAAAAGATCGGTGTGTCGTGGACGAGAACGCTGTTGATTACTAGTATTGTGCATGTTGAACGTTGAGCTATATTGTCGCTTCCACCTCCAAGGCCGCAAGCGACCTTGGTCGAGAAGCGCCGTGTGCTTTAGCAACTGCTGTTTGTTGAAGGCGCTCGGCGGGAATCGCCGTGCGGCTCAACAATGATGGCGATGACCATGTCTGGGTGGTGACGAGAGTGTCGATTGGATCCAACACTGTTTCACGCGGCATGCCCTCGAGTCGCTTCCACTGTCATCCGATTGCACAAGAAACTATTGAACCATTGGGATGCGGTCTCGAGGTTGTTGTTGTTGAAGTGGGTCGTCTATTACTATAGATAAAACTATGCTAAATAAAATTGTCGGACTTTCTTCGTTGTGTGTACTCGGTTGAGGGACTTGGTTTAGGCAGGCGGAGGCAGGAGCGCGATCCGCGGGACGAGGTGCCGTCGCGGCCACTCGTGTTGGGCAAGGAGCCGGAGAAGCCGACGAAGAGCAGGCTGCTCGGGCTCTTGTACGAGGCTGTGGTGGAAGTGCAGTTGAGCGACGCGTGCCGCCTTGACGGCAATCGTCCATGGACTTGGCAGCGGTAGGTCGGCGCGAAAGACGCGATCGTTCCGGACTCGCCAGACGTTGAACCAGACGCAGGCGCGGACAAAAAACGCGTCTAAAGCGTTTAACGTTGGGTCCACACGTAATCGAACCATAAGAACCATGAGTAATGACGTGACCCGACCCAACAGCATCCGGAGGCGTACAACACGGCGTCGCTGCATTAGATGGCCACACAGACCTCCTTCGCCCGAGAACGAGCTACCATCCTTTACAAGATAGAAGCACAGTCAGCATTATAACCCATTCTACTGTCGCAACGCAGTGCCTCGAGGCCTTTTACCTGTCGTTCCGATACCTCCTTTGGCGTTGAGAGTATCCGTGCCAAGACACTCGCTGCTCGCTGTCGCCGCAACCACTAGGTACTCCTTGTCCGGCAGAACGCTTCGAGACTACACACTCGTTTCTGACGGAGAACTTAGTCGATAGTTTCTCCACCTCGGGGGCCTCCGACCTTCGAACATCCATAAAGGGATAGTTTCTTGCGGCACGCGTGAAGCTGAGTTTTCTACAGAGGCCTAGCAAGGGCGCCATCTTGAACCGCCAGGCCGAACCGCCAAGATGGCGGCAGCCCTACCAGCTCTTATAGCAAGGCGCAACCGCCGAGATCGAAGATCATTTGCGATTTGCTCGTCCAGCCCCAACCCTCTTGGCTACTTGACGCTCTTTTGACCCACCCACCAGTTCCTTCTTGGGCGGCGGGCTCCCAACACGAACCCCGTTCGTCTCCCCCATGCACTTGCGTCTATAGCCGAGGGGACGAAATCGCCCTCAGTGGTTGTGTTGTCCTGGGCCTTGGCGCGGACTATCATACTCTTCAACATGGTTGGTGCCAGCACCGCTGCGGAGACAGCGACGACGTCTAGAAAAGCATTCAAGCCCTTCAACCTTTGTGCGATTCCTTACGCACGGCTCAATTCTTCGAAACGAGACAGTTCTCTCCTCGAACACCGAGCTCGAAGTGTTGGTGGCTAACAAGAGTTTCTTGGCGCCCGCCAGCCGTTTTCGGGAGCGGCGTGGCGGGATCGCTTAATCGTAGGAGGATCAAATCGGAAATGGCTATGCTATTGGGCCCGTCGCGGCCTGTTTGTCGTTCTATTCTTCTCCTCTTTTCTTTTTCTGTTGTTATTCGTGCGCTCAACCTTCTGCGCTTCTTCCACCTCTTGGAAATGCACCGTCCGCGACAGGCCGAGCGATCCATAAGACCACATTTCGATGCCCACAAAATACTATACACAGGCTTAGGGCAGGTCAGCTCGACTCCGAGCTCGCAGTGTCGGGGCAAACAAGAGTTTCTTGGCACCCACCGGCCGTTTTTGCGAGTGGCGGTATCGCTTATCAGTACTAGTACATCGTAAGCGTAAGAGGATTAAATCGAATGTGCATACGTTTCAGGGGCCGACGCGCTCCCTTTATTGCTCTATCCTTCTCCTCTTCTCTTCTTCTGTTGTTCTTCGTGCACTCGACCTTCAATACACTTCTTCCCCTTCTTGGTATCGCACCTTGCCGAATCTGCACTTTCGGCTTATGAACCATACACGTTGCAGCGCCAGAGTGTTTTACTTTCAGGCAAACAGCTTACCCGCCTCGCCCACCACCGGCACGGCCAACGCAAACCGAGTTGTTAGCCCCTAGTAGTTATGATTGAGGAAGAAGCGTACTAGTACCGTGGTGATGATAGATTGAAGGAAAACACTCATGGTCGTCCGGACGTCGACTTGTCTCCTGCTAGTTGTGGCTCTCGTTTCCATCTTGATGCCAATGCTCAATAGCCACACCATCTTGTAAAAAAAATGCATTCGCAATCATTGACTAGGTCTGCACGACGGCCTTTGTGACCTGAATGCGGCGCGTCGCATCTTCGTAGATCTCGACGCGGTACGTCTTGGGCGCCTCGCACGCGCAGTCAAATCATTGTTGAGCGGACCCGCGGGCACGAGAGGACAGCCCCGTACGATAAAAATGTACTTGATGCCGCTCACGACCTGCTTGGTCACGGACACAAACTGCACGGGGCACACACGGGGCACGCTCGCCGACGCAAAGTTGGCGTCCTTGGTCACGGCGCGCACGTACAGCAGCTTGTCGTCCGCCGTCGCGGGGGCCGGCGCCGTGACGCCGCCAACAAGACCCGTCTCGACAGTGGACACAACGTCTGTGATGCGCACGGGCTCGTTGATGGCCTCGAGCACCGTCACCATATACGCGTGGCGCTGGCCATTGCACGAGCAGTTGGAGGTCGCGGTCGTCGCGCACCCGTGGACGCCAACGTGGTACTGGACGCCAGCAACG